AAACAGGCTCCATCCCACATCTGTCACAAAAGGTCCATCTTTTGGAGAGTGCTCTGACTACTGGGCAGTAGTGACAGTCCCATGTTCAACAACAAAACCATGACCCCCCCTCCTCCTTTTAAAAGAAGGAAGAACAACAACAAAAATCAAACAACCCCCTCCCCGCCCCCCCCAAAAAAACAAACAAAAAAAAAACCCAAAAACCAACAACAGAGTAATTTCTATGAGATTGCTAGAAATGAAAATTTCCACCAAATTCCAGTTAATAAATGAATAATGTCTATTGTCTGAACTATAGCCTGATTTAGAGGCAGAAGCCCAAGCTGCTCAGAGCACAATGGATCTCTCAAGAGCAGGAGATATAAAATCCTTAGTGAGGGGAGAAGGCATTTGGCCACTTTGGGTGTCCCTAGAGAAGAGGGGCATCACAGCTCTGGGTATAAACTTCAGCCCTGCCCACCTTTCCACCCACTGCTTACACAAAGCTAGCAAAAGAAACTAGCAATGTGGGCAGCAAGAGAGGCTGGAGGATCATCTTAATCCATGTCAGCTCCAGCAAAGGTGTATCTCCCCCAAATAACTAGCACTGGAGGAGACAAGAAATAGTGCATGAGCCATGTATAACTCATAGAAAGGTTTTCAGCAGCTTGGCAAAAGCCACTGAGCAGACAGGCTAAAGCAATATCTTCGCACTGGATATGCACTGTTCCTAAGATGCACATTAGCTCAGCAGCACTGAAAGACATGCTGTGAGAGAAATTTCGAATTAGAAAAAGACTAACTTTTGATTACATTTTGTCTCAGCTAAGAGCCACCCAACTAAATCCCCTACCGTCATCCCTCAACAGCATCACCACTTGGTGGCATCTGCATCTTGAGTCTTCTTGCACTAGTTGGTTCATCTTTATTGAAAATTTTGACCAGGCACAGTGCTATGACTGTGCCTCAGACTGTGAATAAGAGAGGCAGGGCTAGTTTTCCCAGTACTATGTCTCGTGGTCTTTTCTTGAAGTAAATGGAAACTGCCTGTTAGTCTTTGAACTATTGGTTTTTTTTGAGAAGTACCTATCCTTGGGATGCAAGTCTTGACTGTACACTTACCACTATTGACATTTTTGCTAACACAACCTTCCACTTAAACGAGAAAGTAGGGGAAGCCTCAGTAGATACCTTCACAGAAGACTAAGAAGGTCTGAGAAAGCCGAGAACTGGCACAAAGCTTGAAAAGTGAAAGATCCTGCCCTTGAAGCAGGAGACGGGTTTCAGGAATCTCCCTAACAGCAAAGGGCAGAACCCAGACTCAGAAACGAAGGCGGCTAAAGTGCTTTTACTGCATTGCTGTCTGCACTGGAAACTGCCAAGAAACACAAATTAAGAAACTATTTATGAAACTTTGGACAACACTATGTAGCCAGAAAGCGAATTGCTCACCTCACTGTGGGTTCAAATATTTACCACAAATCTGTACATGCAAATCAAGAAGACTCAAACTGACAAAGAGCCAATTGCAAAGAGTATCCAGTTTTAAGCACCTACTTGGGATGCCAACAAGGACATTACCTCCAGAATAATTCCAGTTTCTGTACTTTAACTACTCTTTATGTTAGTTACCAACACTGCCTTTTGTTGTTGCTGTTGTTTATGGGGATCATAGACTAATGAGAATACACGAGAGGCTGCTTAGTAAGCTGTGGTGGTACCACTTCCTTTGCTTTAAACCAGCATCATCTCCCTGTAACTTAAATGAAGCCAAAAAATAAATGCACAATTCATATTTTCATATCTAATGACATTGTGGAACATGGGAGAAAAAAACAAAACAACAATAAACCAACCAACCCTGAGTTCTGCAGCCAAAGAACACGGGCATCTCTAAGCTGCGAATGCAGTTCAAAGCCCCCAAATAAACAAGCCACAAGGAGCAATCTAAAAAGACCCGGGGATGGGGGGGGAACATAAAAATGCCATAGGTAGTAGAGCACTCAAGTTCCCAGCCTCCCCTACAAGTGATGTTCCCAAAAGAATCACAGCTGAGGCAACTCCAACCATTTATCTCAGCGGCATCTTCAAGTGTTCTTCAAAAGGATCGAGACCCTCCCCTATCCCTTCTTCTGGGAGACGATGCTACCTTGTACGTAGTGATCTCATGACTACACCACTGTGCAGAGAGGACAGGCGTTTGGGGCCCTCCTCTGCCTGAAGGGAGGCAGTTAGATGGGCCCTTCCCTCCTGGGACATGCGATGGCCATCGAGGGTCCTTTGCTCTTCCCGTGAGCGCACACAGTTACACACAGGAGGCACAGGCTGCACTGCTTTGGCTAAGCACAACCTAGAGAGGAAACAGGGCCCAAGCACACAGACATACAGATGAGGGCAGTTAGGAGAATTTGAAAAATGAACCATTGCCTACATGTCTATCTTCAGCTCAGAGAGGAGAAGAGGAAAAAAAAAAAAAAAAAAAGGGAAAAAAAATACTTTGAATTGCCTCTGCCCTGCTTTGACTACATAATTTGCTCTTAAGAGGCTTAGAAGTTCGCATTTTACTTTAAACATGGCCCTAAATGTCTGATACTCAAGGCAAGTCCAATACTCTTAACCTAAGCTTTGAATGAATCCGTTACTCTTTGGCTCAAGCTACTCTCTTAAACCTCTGCTCTCCCACATAAAGGGGCCACCAGCCCTTCGCACAGGAGAAACCAACACAGCTCATTTCCAAGGACACTCATCCAGCTTGTAACACGGGTTAGCAGCAAGCAGGACTGAACCCAGATCTCAAAAACATCCAAACTCGCTGAACAAAAGGTAAAGCATGCTTGAAGCACAAGGACTTCACTGACATGTACCAAAATAAAAGAAAAATTTAAAAGAAAAAAATTAAAAATATGTATCTTTATTCAAATAAGGTTATCTTTGAACTCCAATTGTCAAGTTACATTAGTCAGAAACAAACAAATGGAAATGTTATCTGTTTGGTTTTTAACACCATAGACAGAGTCCTGGTCATTACAGTATTTGATGCATTGATTCAAGTCAAACTCTCCCCAAACAAGAAGCCAGGAACTTACAAACATGATCATGGATTTTGCTCAAAAGATTCAGATATGACAATTTACTTAGCATACTCTGACTGCTGGTACAATGAGATTCTCTTGTCATTGCCAAATAGTATTTGCTACTTTGCATGCAGAGTTCAATACTGCTAGACTTGTTCTCCTCCCTATGGAGGAAGTGGATTCCAAGATGTCTTCTCCTTCCAGTTCTGAAATTTTGCTTGACAAAATGAAACATACTGACAAAGTGAAACAGCACTGAAAGAAATGTAGTAGCCATAAATAGAGACTACTTTGATAAATAGTCCCTAGGTTCAAATCTGTTGCAATCACTTCAAGAACAGACAGGACAAAGTTTGGGCTAAATAATTAGGTGTTTTAATTTGCTCCAGTGAACAAAGCAATTATGGAACATCCAAGGAGGGATTACTGGGACCTAAACTAGGATGAAGCAAAGCATCACTTTTAAGATGCCACACTTCAGACCTTCTGCTCCCTAATGCAGAGTTTCCCGGGTTCATGGGAGAGAAGGGCTCTAATAGCAGCATTAACATTGCAGTTGAGAGCCCTACCGAGAACAGGAGTGGAGGTGCAGGTTTGTCCCTAAACACCACCCCCAGCCTCTTTCTTCCTCACACAAGAGGGAACAACATGGTCTGCTTCAGCTTTTTAGAACCAAGTTGGAGAAATTCACAGCAAAGAGAAACACATGCTTCCTCCAACACATACCAAGAGCTGCTCCTCACTGTGCCAGACACACAGACCTACTTCTCAGGACAATCTCCAGCCTTTCCATGCAGAAGGTCCTGCAAAGCCTACTGTGAGATAGGGGTTCTGTTTAGGTGTTGCACTGATGCAGGAAAGCTAGGGATTAAAAAGAACATTGTACATTTTCACAGCAATTTAAGACAGTATATTAAATTTAGTGAAGAGAGGCCAGGTTGCAACAGCTTAGATTCAAGGCACATGTAAATATTTGCTGGTGTCAGAAGAACTGATTAAGTTCCTGTATACTACTGTGGCTGTCTGAAAGGTTCTTCTATTGATTTACCTTATTTACTCAGCAAGATTAGCTTGAGGCAGTAGTTTCTCCAATTAGTACAGCAAATAAAATCTTCTAAAATTCAGAAATGAGTTTATTAACTATACCATTATACAGTGTACTATATACCGTAGCTATCATCCTACTGGTATAGCACAGACACCCACTTTCTGGACATTCTGTAATTTCAGTAACAAAATGTATTGCATAGATTTATCGTTTCTCCAAATTGTCAGGCACAATACTGAAATGTTCTTCATTACAGTGAATTTGGCAACATGTATTGCACTCCAAAGGAGAAACTGTATGTCAGATTCGAGATAGTTTTTGCAGGTTTTCACACAGAGAGACTTGTAATTACAAACAAAATATTCTGATGTTTTTGTGCATTTATAAAATTAAAAAATTCTGAACTCTACACACAAGCAGCTCAAGGACAAAGTTACCACAGATATGTAAGCAAGGCAAAAAAGAAAAAATAAATCCCTTTCACATGCCCAATTTGAGCTATCTGCTTTGTTTCTTTCCTGAAGCAAATTTCACATGATAAGCAATATCAAAACCAACTGTTCAGTTTTATGCCCTTGGTATTAAACCAGGAGTTGAGGCAACATCCTGGCTCTGCAATAGCTCCTGGATTAAGAAAGCACATCTGAGGCAACAGCTTCTGAAGAGACAGGTAACACAGTATTTGTAGTTCAGAACACTTACTGCTTCAGGATTTAAAATCATAGCATCCATATGTGATTCAAGAAAGACAAAAGACAGCTTCATAAAAGTAAAGCACATTCCCAGATTAAATATGCCCTTAACAAAATCAGATCTGAAGAGGTGTAAACTAATGTTATCTTTGCTGAAATGTTTCTACAAATCTCTAAACAAAGTTAGAGACAGACTTGAAATTATTTAAAAAAAAAAAAAATCAACCCTACGATACACCCAAAGAAACTACTTGGACGTTCCCTCACTGCTTAAAAGTAAAACCCAAAACAGGAAGATATGCCTTGTTTGCTTATTCTGCATTGTTTGCTTACTATATCAGATACCAACGGTCTGCCTACTAAAAGCCTGCATGTGTGTTCACATATTAGAAATTGCTTGTAGACACACATTTCAATAAGAGTTGGAATTTACTAAACCAATCTAAAACCATTAAATCCAAATGGCAAGGAGATGAAACATTCATAACAACTTTTCCCTCCAAACAGCGGTGTAGTTCATTACAAAAAAGAAAAACAAACAATGACTGATAGGCCAGGATATTTAGCGGTAGGTTCTGCACACATCATCAGTTTGCAATTTTTATTATTGACAGCCACCAAATCCTTGTTTTAATTCCCTCTTCTTGAATCTTAACCAACCCAGACAAATGCCATGTTTATCTTCCAGTATTTATCAGAAGTTTAGCTGAAAACATAGACCTAGATAAGGTTTACAGCCTTCCCCTACCTAGTATTTGCTGCACTGCTCCTCAGTTTGTTTTAAACTTTAGTATTAATGGTTTAAACAGTAACTCCTTTTTAAAAAAAAAAAAAACGCAATAATTTACAATATTGAAGTATACCAAACACTAAAATTTCCCTCATTTACAGAATTGTATAATTTTCTGTGCATACATACTTCTGATATGTACACACAAAAGGAACAAGTCATCAAAAGAACTTTTTGGCTGCTGCTTCTTGTTGACTCCTGAAAGAAAAAGCAGAAGAGAATTCATGAAGTACTTGAAGTAGAAAAATAGCAAACTAGTTTAAGTAATGAAATACACACACACACACATATATATATATCTTGAAATACAAGATTCTGCTCATTTTCCACAGCGACTTAAAGAATCCAAATAAAAAAAAAATCATGTCAAAAAAGTTATATTGTATTCGCCATTAACAAGATCCCTGGAAGCATGACTACAGTTCCAACTTTGCATTAGACAAAGGGAAACAAAACATTCCGGAGAGATATCAGAAACTGAAGGAATTCTCAGCATCTGATTTGCCCAAAGATCACATGAAAAAGAAACATACGCAGTTAAGCAGTTGAAGTTGCTTGGAAATGGGATTATCTTTTCTCTTTGTCAGAGAACACTTCATGCAAATCAGTGTAGCACGTTTAACTGAAATAAATTTGTGAATAGACTATGCAACGGGAGTGCATAATCTGTCAAATTGGACTTCTTCAAAGAAGTTTACAAGGAAAGACTGAAAGAGCTGGGCCTGTTCAGCCTGGTCAGTGTCTATAAGTACCTCAAGGGAGGCAGTAGGGAGGATGGTGCTGGCCTCTTTTCACTGGTGGCCACCAACAGAACTAGAAGAAATGGCCGGAAACTAAAGCATCAAAAGTTCCACAGGAACTTAAGGAAAAATTTCTTGACAGTGAGGGTGACAGAGCCCTGGAACAGGCTGCCCAGAGAGGTTGTGGAGTCTCCTTCTCTGGAGATCTTCAAACCCGCCTGGACGCAGCCCTGTGCCACGTGCTCTAGGTGACCCTGCGTGTGCAGGGGTTGGACTAGATGATCTCTAGAGGTCCCTTCCAACCTTCAGCATTCTATGATTCTTTCTTAACTGATACCATGGCTCAACCATGCAAAAATGCTAGAATGACAAGAGCACCAGAAATAAATGAGGATCCAGTCCCTTTCAGTTATCTTGGAAATCATCATCAGTCAGTGCTACCAGCAACTGTCCTCAAGTTCATGCTGCTTATCCTTTGACACAAGCAATGGTGTTTTCCCGATAGAGCACTGCAGTTCTTACTGCTTTCTGAAGCTGTTTTGGTCCCTACTCCTTATTCTGTTGGAGAGCAAGGGGAAAGGAAGATCACCAAACAAGCAGCTATTAATCCTTAAGAGTTCCCCACCACCACACAGCTAATTTGAACATAATGAAATAACAAGGAGGAAGAGAATATAGCCACTATTCAAACTGGTGAATATATATATTTTTAAATTTGATTAAAAAAAAAAACACTTAGACACTAGTATTAAAACTTCACCTCTCTGCTACACAATGTGGCTTTTTAGAAAAATCCTGACATTGGGAGAGTTCATCTGCTTTCCTCAAAATATCCATTAGCTTATTTCCACAGGGTCTGAACCTAGAATGCAGCTTGGAAACACCAGGTGTGTATCATATGAAGAGTTCAGAAGATTCATATTTGTCTGGTCAGATGAGATAGTGTGTAACTACATACAGCAAAAAATCTCAAATCCCAGATTACATCAGATTGTTAACCTGTTAGTAAACTTCAAGTCTAGCAGGAGACCACAAGGATAGTAAGGGACAAAGTATAACCCTAAAGAAGAGGACGAGGGATCTGGACAAGAAGAGGTTTTTGTGTCCTTCCTTCCCCCCAAAAAACGAAACAACAACAACAACAACAACAACAACAACAACAAAAAACCACAAACACACCTAAGAGCAGCTTTCCAATACCCACATGAAGGTCATTGAGAAGGCAGATGCCATCTTTTTACAGAGATGCGTATCACAAAAGTGAGAGACAACAGGCAAGCAGAACAGTGTACATCCAGTGAAACAGATTCCTACTGACATTCAGGAAAATCTTTAATTAAAAAAAAAAAAAAAAAGAACACAACGCATATACAAAAACAAAAATCACAAGAAGGGTGCAGAAAGGTGGTAGACTCTCCATCCCTGGAGGTTTTCCAGACTATCATAAGCCTTAAGCAACTTGGTCCGATTATGGTGTTGACCCTGCCTTGAGAAGATGGGTGGTCTGTATTCCAACCTAAGTACCTTGCAGCTTAGAGGAAGGTTTTTCTTAAAGAACCTTATCATAATCACACCACTTCTACTGCATATCAAGTCAGAACTTCCAATATAATTTATCCCATCATTTTCAAAGTAAAGCACACTTACCTATACATGATATAGCCAATGAATAATACTGTTTGCACTGCTACAAATATGAAGAAGTGTGTTGTAGACAAACATGATGGAAATGGTGGCAATTCAGGACACTTTGGTTTCTCATTCGATGGCTAGGAAAAAAAAGCAAACACGCTCACAGTATTTAAGAGCAGAACACATGTCAAAAAGACGCCCAGTTAAGAAATAAGATTTTTGCAGCATGATTTAGGATCAAACACAAGCAGAAAATTGTAGAGAAAAAAAAAAAAAATACTTTGTTAAAAAGTCACGATATAACTACCTGATTCACTTCCCCCTTTCACCTTTATGTTTATCACATAAATTGACTGGTGTTAATCCAGGGGCCATAGTGAAAACAATAAATGTCTGCTAAATTACCCCAGAAATTAAAAGTGCTTGTATGCGATCATTGTAAGTAACACAAAATGAAGTTGTTTATGTTAAGCTAAAATGCTAATGAATATGAATGTATTCATACCCCGCAGAACCTCAGCACAGGCTGGGTTCCCCCATTCAAAGCTTTCCTTTCTGCACAGATGCTTAGAGAGTCTCCTCTAAAGATTTCTTTTCATCCAATATAAGTTGATTTACGCTGCAGCTTTTCATTAAGCAGGATTGTGCTCCATAACTACTTATTTTTACAAAATGTATTATAATAGAAACCCTACATTTCTTCAACTTGTTGTAACAACTGTCCAACACGTTCATGAACTGCTAGGTAGCAGGACAAGCTTAAAATAACACCTAGAAAGCCCAGCTGCTTGACCTCATTTTCACAGAAGTAGAAATCATACTCTTCATACAAAACGTCCCATCAAGACAGATCATGATGTTAGGTTAGACAGAACAGTTTTACTAAAGCAGCTTAATGAAGGATTAATAGCTCAATAAACTGCATGCTGGCTTATCTCAGCTTTTTACTGTTTACTATTCACACACAAAATAGTACTTCAGTCACTTCACACTAACAGAGTATAAATTACCATATTTCGTTGCACTAAATGCTCAATGTCCCTCTTTACTACGTGAAGATGTTCTTTGATGTCGTTGAAGTGCTGAGTTGTTTCATAGACTCCTGCAGCAGAGCCAGGATGTTGAGGTACACTGACCAAACTCAGTGTCTCGGACACAGAATTTCTGAAACAACAAGCCATCTTTCAGCAAAGGACAATTTCTCACATGTTTATACTGAGTATTTATGCTGAACACATTTTAGCATTCATTTGAAGTATGCAGCTAGGTAAGACATTTTTATCTTCCAAGAAACACTTCCTTAACGAAACAATTTTTTCTTGGTTTTTTTTTTTTTTTAAAAAAAAAAAAAAAATCATTCCACACAGAGGTCAGTGCACCATACTACAAAGTCATGCTAAAAGCAAGAACTGGCCGGTATTCTGTTACTAGACAATAGACAACTGCTTTGTCCGACTGCCGAAGTCGGAAACAAGTGATCGGAATGGCTATGGCCAAGGCATTAGGATAAACACAATATATTGCAATCTTTCAAGAAAACTTAAAAAAAAAAAAAGTCATGTAAGAAATAAAAAAAAGGCTTTAGGGATAAGAAAAGATTTAGCTACATCCTTATGTCATGATGATTACCATTTATGAGAAACTCATTTCCCTTTTGCATTGTCATAATACTTAATATTATGTATTATGTATTCATAATGTATTCATTGTATTCATTTTGCTGTTACAACAAATCAAATTAAATCCACAAAAAGTTAAGGCTCCATAACTAGTTTTGCTCAAGCTAAACTAATCAATGAAGGAAAACATTTAATCTCTAATCAATATGTTTATATAATTTTTTTGTTCCCGTGAAGACTCTTCATTTGCAAAGAGGATTACAGTACAGCTAAAAATATCATATGAATCTTAATCTCTTTGTTATAAACAGAACAATCAAAACATACATCTTGGGATTTCTTTTTAATTTACTCAAAACTTCACATTTTGTTCAGAGGAGAGCTTACTTTGATACTTTCAAGTAAGGGCCTTGCTGATCGGCAATTTAACTTCCCCTTAAACAAAGGTAGCCTAGCTTGAACACAGCTTTTTGGGCCACTGGAACAGCAATACATAACCCAATTATTAAGCAATATAAAATTATATTACTGAATTTTTAACAGGCTCATATTCATTGTGCAAACTGCCAGTTAAGCATCAAAGCTTAGATGTTAACAAATCATAAAGGTGCATCCATCTATAAGCTTTGCATCAGTTGCTCTTCATGCTCTTCACTAGATTTCAATTCATTTCCAGTTAGGAGAATAAAAAACATGGAAAAAACAAACAAACAAAACAAAAAAAACCACACAAACTATAAAGGTCTGATATGCATTAAAAAGCAGTAGCAGTAAAGACTGCAAGTAGAGGCTGTTGCTAGATGAGTTTCACGACAGCCGCCTCCCACATGACAGCTCCACAGCACGTTCGTGATCATCGGGACAGCTTCACACCAAACCAGGCTGGTCTGGGCTTCACCAGTCCGTCAGGCTGCAGACACAGCACCTCAAACGCAATAACTGCATTCCCTGCTAAATGTTGGATTCACAATTAACTTGTCCTGATGATCACCATTTTTCCTTATGGAAAAAATAAACTAACACCACAGACACACAAATCAGTTTAACATGCTACACTTCCACTACGCTGTATATTTCCCCACATAAAAGAAAGCTCTCCTCATTTTCAGGGCAAAATGATCAAGGAACACCCCTTTTCCTTTCATGTTTATGAAACCTCAACCCTATTCCTAGAATATATTAGGAGGTCAACTGTTTTCTTCTCTGCAAGTGTAGAAAGTAAGTCTTTGGGGGATGTGGGTTTTTTTGTTTTTTCTTATGAATTAAAATGAACTTAATGAGCTTAAAACACCTATTTTTTTGCAGAAATTCATCACTGTCTGGCCTACATCCCAGTACACTATCTGTAATTAGTGGAAATGTAAGCGTGGAAAGTTGTGCAGGCCACTGCAAACGAAATCCAAAGCAGCTCTGCCTTATCTCATCCTACAGTTCAATTTTTGGATCAGCAGCATTTATACATAAAACACATACAAAAACCCTACTCTTTTGCACACATACATACACACAAGAAAAACCACCCCCTCCTCCAGCCAAAACCCACAACTCTGCTGACTTAACATACCCCTCATCCCAGATTTTTAATTTATTGTTGTCATTGTATAGATTACTTGAAGTCATTTGCCTAATATTGACCTGCACTTTGAATTTGGGTTGTAATAACCTATGTTAGAAGCAAGTATTCACTAAGAGGTTTTTTTTTTTAAAACAAACAAACAAACAAACAAACAAACAAAAAACATACCATCCATGTCCAGCCATCAGGATCATGGTCTAATAAAATGCTGATGGTAATTACGGCCCTCTACATCCATCACATTGTTTATTTTTCCCCCCACAGTTTTCAGCACAAGAGCACAATTATGAAAAATTGATTTTGTACTTCTCCCTCCCAATACCACCTGCGACGAAACAAACCAAAATCTGTATATGCTCGCCTTCCCCCGCACTGATCCATTTCTGCTGTTAAAAAACAAAAACAGCAACAAAAAACCCTAAATAGACAGAGTTTTATCAAATTTAATTTATGTTACTTTTACATAAACAATACCATGCCTTTAGTTTCCACAGTATAAGCATGCGAGATCCTCCAGTAATCAGATGATTAAGAAATCCACAAATCTTGACAAGAAAATTACTTAGTAAGTCCTTTTCCTCCGGGATGACCAACATGGCAACAGCGGGTTGTTCATTTCTATCTATACATAAAATGTTTCTTTAATCTAAGAAAAATATTAAGATGATGTTACACAAACTTGTACCTAATAAGTAGTCACTAAAAGGGCAGGCTGCCAAGGTTAACAAGCAAATTTAATTTGCTTGCTAGGTATAAAGATTTGTCAAGAATATTAATATAAGAGCTTTCCTGGAAGAACAAGTGCAAAAAAATGGAAGCACTCTAATCTTCAGTCTACACAAACCTGACCTACTTAAATGAATCACAAGAGGCTGGCCTTTGAACTAATGCTGAACAAAAACAAAAACGACAACGGCTTATACACTACAACATGAATTTAGAGGAATTTCTTCCTCCATTTTCTTACACCAAAGAAAATGAATGCCTGAACTACTGTTTAAATTTCAGGTAAAAAGAAAAGTAAGACATTCTTGAAGCAGAATAAAAAATTCCTGTGTCAAGCACTGGAATTTTCTGAGGTTCATACATTTTACTAGCATACAACCTGCAAGGTTAGGATCTGTATATCAAGCAGTAACTTCATTTGAAAGGGTGCAGTATCTCAAACAATCATTTTGAAATAACTGCATCTTAAAAAAAAGAAAAACAAAAAGCAAAACCAAACAAAAGTAAGTGTCTAAGTGCTTAGGAGTATCCCTACAGATACGGAAGTTTCCTGAGAGTTAATTGCCAAAAAGTCCTCCAACAAGAGAAAAACGATGGTTTTAATCTAGTACAAATAGATTCCAACAAGCTACAAGAAGACCATCACACAACTGAATTCATGCCGGCAAAGAATCGGGCCTGTAACTGTCTAGCTCCTTTAATGCAATTACCTGAAGCAAAAACATTGACTTATCTGTTGACAGACGCAATCCTCACAAATAAGTTTAGACTATAAAATATTAACTTAGAACAAAAAAAAAAAAAAATCCTTAATAGCAAAATGAGGCCATGGAACACTTATGGAAAGGAGAGTATTTCCATTTCAGTACAGTTCGGAAACATTTTACTATTTCTAATCTACCCCACAAAATATCGGGACAAAGTTAAATAAAAGGGTTGACAAAAGGAGAAAAAAAGTAAATGAAAGTAATTTAATACTAGAGTGCTTTTTCCCGTATAATATTTTTATTGTGCAAGTGTCATAAAACAACTTGTCATCTAACAAACCAGCACATTTTTACCCATGGACAGGTTTTTCAGTTTGTTCAAGAACAGACACTCCACAACCTCTCTGGGCATCCTATTCCAGTGTTCAGTTACTCCCATAACACAGTGATTTTCTTATGGCTAAGTGGAATCTTCGTGTTTCAGTTTGTGCCTATTATTCTGTCACTGGACCTCACTGACAAGAGGCTGGCTCAGTTTCCTTTACCCTCTCCCCTCACGTAGTTACCCCCATTGCTGAGATCCCCCTGTGCCACCGCCCCAGGCTGAGCAAACCCAGCTCCCTCAGCCTAGGACCGATGCTCCAGTCCCTTCAGCATCTTCTTTCTACAGACACTGACTGTTCCTACAGACTCTGTGGTCGCACGTTGAGGACAAATGAGACAAATAGTATACATGTACACCAGCCCAGCCCTGACCTTTAATACCAAACTTGAAAGCATGCAGATAGGCACCACCAAGGAAGTGCTGTACAGACATTACAAGTCTGCCAAAACTCAGTGAAATAATAAGTGGGATTAAAAAAGTAGAAAATGCAAAATGGAAAATAAGGCCTTCACATTTAGAAAGCGTTTACCTCATTTCATTCACTTGTCTAATGAGCTCTTCTTGAGTTTTTACAAGCTGATCGATCTCTTGCTGAGAAATCTGGACAGGGAAGGGAGTAGTTAAAAAACAAAATCAACATATCTTGGAAAAAGCAATAGATAAGGCTTTTGAAATTAGATTGAGCTATCAATCTTGGTCTATTTTGGAATTCACCTGTCCTTGTTGATCTGAAACACCAGCTCCTCTTCTGGTAAACTCCTCTGTCACGGCAGAGACGTATCTCCTCTGCTCATCCAGAATCATATCCAACTGCCTATTAAGCTGTTTGATTTCAAGATGAATCCGATTCTGTCCCTCAAAGATTTGCCTCAGTTCACGATCACTCACAGTTTCAAAAAGATCATCCGCTATGAAGAAAAAAGAATGGGAAGTTTTTTATATGTGTGTACATATATATAAAATATGTACATGCATTCCTCATACGTTGCAATTTACAATTTTTCTTCTGCCTTACAAGTTTCCACACAGATTTACCTTCTCCCAGCAAGTTTATACACTACTACTGCAGTGGCTATTTATCATCATTGTCAAGGCTAAGATGACCAATAGGGACTGAAAAGAGAAAGCCACACACATCCAAATCCAGACTCCACCATACAGAGTTCCTATTCTAATAGGCAGATAGGTTGAAATGTTGTTGTTATTAGGGAGACAGCTATGTTTGCATAAATTAGTATCCTATTAACTGTCTCTCAGATTAGATCTGTAGGTATGAAGTGACAAACATTTTAAAAAGAAAAAAAAAAAGTGGCTTGATATAAGGACATGACTGGACACATTTGTGTTCCTCATATGTGTATTAGCATTAAGCAGCCTGGGGATTGGTGCTGAACATACCCAGGCATCAGAAACTGATTAAACCTGCTCAAGAGCCAAGGAAGGAACACGTGGTGCCAACCGCCTTCGGCTTCAACCAGCCTCCCGCTCTTGGCGGGCTCCGCACGGAGTCTCGCGGTGCCCCATGCTGCCCCGCACGGGCTCTCTGCGCGGGGGTATCCGCACGGCTGCTGCAGAGCGGGCGGCCCGGGGCACCCGCCTGAGCCCAGCCAGGACGTCCATGCTTGGTACCATAAAAAAATGTGTGTGCCTTTAAGTATGGCTAATTCAATCCACAAAATAAAAAAAGCTAATCTTATTTGCGTTTCCATTAACATCTTCAAATAACACCCCCCCACACGCAAAAAAAAATTGCTTAATCACCCTTTACAAAAGGCTACACGACCTCTCCCTCCTACAGTCCCATACAGATCCTTATCATTCTCTAAGTTTCTTTTCATTTTTTTCATTCTCCTTCCAGACATTACAAAGGCATGTTGTATTCTAGAAGGCACTTTGCACCAGAGTTTAAACAAGGTAAGTCAGTAGGAGCTTAGCAAGACTGGCATTTCACACTATCAGGCCCTAGCCTGGAAGGCCCTAGAAAGAATAAGTTTTACTTGACAACTGAAAAATTGCTCAATTAACTTGCCTGGCTGTCCTTGCACATCAGGATGTTCCTTTTGAAATTCCTCTTTCTTTTTATCCAATTCTTGCTGAAAGTGTTCAAACTCTTCTTGATACTTCTCCTTATCTTTTTGAGGAATTTCTGCATCCGGTGCCGGCTTTAATAAGTTATCAAAAAGAGAAAGACTTTTATTACTATCGATCATTAAAGCTCTCAAATACTCCTATATGACTCGTTCTCCATAAAGACTGTCTAGATTTCAGATTTGAAGAGAAATATCAGATTAGTGGAGCATATTAATATTAAGCTGAATTGAGGAATCAAAAGTTTCCATGGAGACTCATAGCTTTTTCCTGATGCACACTTTGTTGACATGGTGTTGCTCCAATAATTCTAATCTTGAAAATATAACTAAAATGTTACTGGAAATATTAGTCTATTTTTCCAGAATATAGATGACAGTACAGATACATGGAGATAAATAAACAACCAAACACCCACACACAGAACAAAGCTAAGCAGAAATACACAATAACATATTTTAGTGATTGCATATAAAGATACTTACCACTTCTTTGCCAGGTTCAGTCAGCTGGAAGGTCAGGAAAGAAAGAACATCATGATCATCTATATTAAAAAAAGTACATTGAATAATTTGTTAATTGATACTGCCATGAGTTAAAGACACTACTTCTAATCATTCCCTTCAAATTCCAAAGTCAAGACTGTACTTGCAAGAGATCTTCAGCAAATAGCATCTTCCCAAAGTTCTTCTAAAAGTTCATGCAGTAGAGAATGAGACTGCACAAGGTCTCTGTCAGGACAAAGCACTTCTGCTCTGTCCAGGAAAAGACCTGAGCATCTCAATAATTCTGGTAATGGGTGAGGATTAGCTACTCCCTCATGGATCAAAAACAGTACAACAGACAAACATTATCAGAAAAAAAAATTTTTGCAACACTGTAAGTCTCAACACAGTTTGGCCCAATTCTGAATGTTTCCTCCATCTAGAAAATTGATCTCCACAGGTACTTAAGAGCTTTGAGGCAGAAGACTTAAGGCTTACATGCAAAACACAGCACACATAGTAACATCACAGTGACAGCTGCATAGCTTGGAGAGTTGTTTGTCAGGTAGTAAAATGCAGTCAAACCACTTTATCTGTGCCAAACTTCTACTGTCAAGGTGGTCCGGGTTTCTGCTCTTATGCCAGGGACATTATTCCACATCAAATATTGCTGACAAGACTTTAACATCAATTGCTAAGCGGCATTTTACTAAAATCTTTAGATGGAAATACCTTTCATTAGTTTTGTAACTAATGCAGCACTCAGACAAAATTCAGTGCAAAGTTACATTACCTGCAAGTCCCCCTGTGGCTGCAGATATTCCAAAATATCCTTGTGATGGCAATATCATATCTTCTACTTTTGCACAAAATTCATAGTCTTCTTTATCTGGAGTAAAGCCATTGTTAATGAACACCTGAAAAGAAAGGCATATAAATTTTACTGCATAATTCCATTTGGGTTAATTACTATGGTAGAAAGCAAGAATTATTCATTTTCAAAAGTGCACTTTTAAAAAATAGAATACATAAGCTTGCCTTAAAAGTTTAAGGGGGAGAAGCTCAACATTTTCTATTTTTCACTTAAGGACATATATTACGCATACATAAAGTTCAGCAAGGCACACAGAGATACTCTTTTTAGATATAAGCAGAAGCAAAACTGAGCGATGTGTGGAAAACTGACAAAATTCTAATATTGTCAACTTCGGTTCAAGAAGTTCTTGACTCACAGCTCACTGAAAGCTGGTCTGCCAGGGGTACATTTGTGCAGGATAGTGGCCAACACAGACATCTGGTCTAATCTAGTAGGGTCACTCTTAATGTTCTTACTTTGACTCTAAGCTTAAAAAAATTTGCTTTCTCCCCCAAATATATGGACAGAATTGCTAAGGTTGACGGCACTGTTTGGGTCACAAGTTCCTAGATAAAGCACCAAGAACAATGTATATATGCTTAAAAAGTCTCAAATTTTATTTTCATTCACGAGTAGCAAACAGCCAATACCATTACAACACAGTACAAGGTCCACGTTCTCTTACATGCCCTCATGTTTACTTTTAGAGAAACTTTTACTACAAAATGACAGACATGTTTTAATTGGCTAATAGCTGTGAATAGCATGTTTTCAGCAGATATCAAAAGCCAGAAAAGAAACATTTCTTTTTATAGCTCTCTTAGGGCCAGAAAAATACATGGCGCTGGGTTTTCAGGACAGCATTCACAACTGAAATCATTTTTAAGAAGTCCAGGGCACTCCTATACACTAGCTATTTCCTGTGTTTTGCAGTGGTCAAAACCCTGACATTTCTTGGAGGTGGGAAGCCCCAAATACCGAATTTAAGTCTATTGTCAATGAGCTTCATTTTTTAAAAACATTTTGGGAATCTCTTAAAAAAGAAGAAACAAAAAGCCAACAAAACACAGCTGACAGACTCAGCAACTCAGGCCAGCATGACAATACCATTCTAATTCAGGGGGCACTTAGGAACAGATGCTGGCTTCAGGACACATGTATAGGCCAGTCAACAAGGAAGGGTCTAAGCACATATGAGAACACAAGCAGCACTGACTTGTAAGTAACAAGATACACACACACAGCAATACCTACCAAAACAGCCCAGGAAACTACAGGTTGCACTAGTATAAATAAAAGCCAGTCTAGTATTTGCAGCACTTTGCTCCCGTTTCAGAAATATTGCCATTATCTTAATAGGTTATTTGGGGTGTTGAAAGTTACAGTAATCGCACATTTAAACAGCTGAGAAACTTGAGTTATATATTATTTAAAGAGTACTTACAGTCAAGGTTTTTTGGTAGTATGTAATCTTTGCTCTAACAGGATAGGGCTTGTTACGAAAGTCCCTCTGACAGGATGCCAGTGCTTGTGTGGAACCATCACTACAAAAGAAAACAACCTGCATAAACCTACATCTTATAACTTATCACCTAAGACCAAAAAAAAAAAAAAAAGGCAAGCATCACGGTCTCGGCAAGAAGCACCATGCTACCTTGCCCAGATGCAACTAGATGCAAAAAGCTATCCCACAACTGCAGTGAGCTCTTCCAAAGATTTGAGAACAAAAGCAGTAAGTTAGAACATCTCTTCTCAGGGAATCCACAGATGTTAATTCTCAATAAATGATTAACATGTCAATAAACCATCAGGAGACAAAATTAAATGAATATATTTTGCTAACAAAGAATCAGATTTTGTCTAGTCACTCTTAATACTAATTAGCAGCATGTGGATGCCAATAAGCAATAAATAGGCCAAAAATCTGTAACTTGATTTATCCAAGTTACCCTTAAGGACACAAATCATTTAAATATTCATCAGTTGCTCATTTCTGGGCTGCTACTGCCAAGACAGTGTTTCAATTAAAATAAAATCTCAAACTGAAGGAATGTGAATGAACAGCAACATTTTTTAAGGAATTATTACAAATTTTCTTTGAAGACAATCTATGCTTTCAGAATGCAGTTTCTCATTAGTACATACTAAATACTGGTACTCCTCTGCATGGAACAGATTAATATTAATTTGTGCAAAGAACATCTGGAGTTTCACATAATATTTCACTGCCCAAACCAAACATCCACCATTAAACTAACACAGAAAACAAACTTACTTCTGATGGTCATACAGAAGTTTTCCATTGTTGCCTACAAGAATCACACCAGGATTGTTTTTCTGTTTAAAAAAAAAAAAGGAAGTTAAATCGTATGCAGTGAAAGCCTTCATATAAAGACATGGTGCTACAGAAACACTACAGATGTCTTAGTCCTATATAGTCTTAATGCATGTAAAGTAAAAGGATTGAAATAAACCTGTCGCACTGTGTACTTTGCAAAAAATCACTACAAGCCTTGTATAGTTAAGAGTGAAAAAAAACTAATTAAGTTCATGGATATACTACTAATTACCATCACTTGATATGATTGATATCTATGAAATACATAGATATTAAAACCACAGTTAGGAAAAAAAATCATATCCAGTGAAGACATAGATCTTAAAATTATTGGAGTTAGTTAATCTGACTTTGGTTACTTTGGCACTCTGCTAACCTCACCATAATCTTTAGAAAACCCTGAAGAACTAAAACTCTTTTGAATACACCCCGAGTTGTATAAGTTGCTAGAAGGTGAGAACAAAGTAGTAACCATAGAATATAAATTCATATCTGGTTTCCTCCAAGCATTTAGGAAATGAACTCTGCTTTTTGCAGGAACTCCAGTTTTCAGAGGTAAACTTCCTTCCCCCTTCAAAACCTGCAAGTCTTCCACACAGAGAAATACATTGCTCCACTGCACAGATGGCAAGAGCTTAAGAAAAATAAGACTGACTTAAAAAAAAAAATTCAAGAAACAATGTAATTCTCAATTCACGGTGTTTGGTGTGAGGTGACTTTTTTTGCTTTAATGCTCTGAGAAACACAGCCACCACATTGTGTACCTTTATCACATATATTTTGGCAACATGAGAGAACAGAATTCTGGTATACAGATATACACCATGTTACTATGTTTTAAACATGACTTGAGAGTCAGCTTTAGTATCAGTCTTACCATCTCAGTGCTCCTTTAATACTTTATATTATCATCTTCTTACTGTTGATTTCAGTTTAACAATATTGAATTAAGTCAGAGCATACTTGCATATATTTTGCATGAGGTGTGTACAAACAGTTTAATTTCAACACATTAATGAACAAAACACAAGCCTAATCTCTCTCAGAGAGAAGTAGACTGCTATTAACAAGAAGGATTCAATATTGATTGCCGGTGGACAGCCCAGTTCCGGTTGTGGATCATGTGTGGAAGGAAGATTTGAATTCTGCAAACATACAGAAGATCTTGAAAGCAACTACGGAATCCATCCAAAGCAGAGATGGAGTTCAAGTTTTTTTGCTTCCAAAAGAATACAGAAAGGAGAAAGAGGGTGAAAAAACAAAACAAACAAAAAAAGTAGCGTACACACACATCACACACACTGCCACAAGAGAAATAAATACAGAGATATAGTGAATTCATCTCAATACATGGGTTGTATGTACATCATACAGCTTTGGCAGGACCGGAAAAAGAAACATCTGCAGTTTTAAAACCAATGATGTCATGAGGGTGCTTGGCATTACTTGAGGAAGTGCTCTGGGTACTGTGTATTAGGTTGAGGGCCACATGAGGCTTCAAACATCATCCACTGAATACACTGAAAATAGTAGCAAGAATTTCTCCATATCAGGACTGAAGAAAATACCGAGAGGTCATTTAAATGTTGGAACTTGTGAGATGTTTTGAATTCGTGTCAAAAATAAAACAGGCAGGAGGTTGACTTCCGTTTTGCCCAGAAGTGACACATCATCACTTTTGAAAAAGAGTTTCACACCACAGTGACTAAATTTGTCATGAAGAGTTCCAGCCTTGTCAAAGCCTGGCAAGCAGTGCTGTCCACATGCAACTTAACGGACCCCATCTTTGGCCAGGGTCCATATTGATGACATGGATTGGAAATCAATAACAAGAATATGGCCAAAACATTCCAAAGCAAACCAAAACAGTACAGAAAGGAGGAGGCAAAACAAACAAAAAGTCAAACCAACTACATATCCTGGGTAAATTTAAGGAGTTTAATGATCATTTTAGATTGCTGGAAAATCAAAAATCCAAAGTGGGTATCTATCACAGTTTCTGAATTTTAGATTCAGAGGAGAAAGGGAAAAAAGTGGGGGGGAGTGAACCCCCCACACAAAAATTTGTCATAGAACTGCTGAAGACAGATTTGCTTGAAGAAAGAGAGCATCCCTTAAAAAAAAGATACGAAAATTTGTATTTCCACAGTGGAAATACGACTCTTCCAAAGCATAAGCCTCTGGCTCTAACATTTCAGACTGTGCATGGACATTCTGAATTTCAGCTCGCACACACACCAAAGGTATTGTTCCTCCAAACCTAACAGGTTAATCTCCACTGTATGTTTATTTGCATGCTAGGCTTTAATTTCCAAACTTAACAATCAATTAAAAAAAAGTTTGGGGGAAGCCTAGTTCAAATTGTGTAAAATGGCATATTTTAATCTTTCTAAATAGGAGATAGGAATAAAAAGAGTAAAAAAAGACACCTTTTTTTTTCCATGAAGTTTCAAGTACAAAAAAAAAAAAAAAAATTCATTTGCAATCTTACAAGAAGTGTTTGCTTCCAACTAACCTTTCCATCGTTGTCAAAAGAATCAAAGAAGATTCCAATTCCATTCCACTGATCAGCTGCCCCAAAAACAGGACCTTCCAAACCTTGTTCTTCTGTAAACCAAATTGCCTATATATAGAAAGCAAGAGTCATAACTTAAAGAAGCACGCTATAAAAGAGTGAATTTTAAGTTATACCAAATTCTTCATACCAGTCCATCAGCTCCAATGCGGCCTCTTCCTGTAACTCGAAATGTCACCTCAATTTCCCAGAACTCAAATATTGATTTGTTCTTTGTCCATACGGAACCTCTTTGGCTCTTCAGAGAGGTTGTGATGCGAATCTGATCTGCGCTTGGTATGGCATCTAGAAAGGAGAGAAACCAAATTACTCAAGGTAAGAGGAATGGCAATTGTCTGACCAGCCAACTAGTTAACTCTCTAAACCCACAGAGATTCCTGATATCGTCAGCTAGGGAGTTGTTTTTAATATATACTTTATAATAGGTAATTCAAACACTTGGCAGTTTAAAATAGAAAAAAAAAAAAGAACTCAATCTTATTTTTACCAGCATAATTATTACTGTTAGAAAGCTTATTCATCTGCCATATGGCACTAAAATGCAGCTTTTAAACACACCACAGGTTCTGCTGCTAAGACAGCGGTTTCTCGGGCGCCAGGGCCGCAGGGGCCGCGCGGCACCGACACCTCAGCGCTCCCGCAGTGGGGGGCTCGCCCGGAGGGGCTGGC